TGGGGGAGGCAATGCTTGTGTGGGGGCAGGAGGTATATGGGAAATCACTGTATCTTCCTCTTAATTTTGCTCTGAAGTTGAAACTATTCTAAAAAATATATAAAGTATTAAAAAAAATACAAGGACAAAAAAGTTCAGCTCAATGGGTATAGCTCAGTACTTCCTCCAGGCAATACTTCATACTAGAGGGGATAGAGAGTTAATCCCTATCCTGATCTCTAAAACCATAGATTAAATTTGCTTAATTTTATACTTCATACAATGTACACACAGATTTTGTACTCTTTTTTTGTCTGACATCTTTGCTTAGTTCTTTTATTTTTGTGAGGAAGACCGGCACTGAGCTAACATCTATTGCCAATCCTCCTCCTTTTTTTTGCCGTTTTTCTCCCCAAAGCCCCAGTAGATAGTTGTATGTCACAGTTGCACATCCTTCTTAGTTGCTGTGTGTGGGCTGCTGCCTCAGCATGGCCGGCCAAGTGGTGCATTGGTGCTCGCTGGATCGGAACCGGGCCAGTGTAGTGCGCGCACTTAACTGCTAAGCCACGGGACTGGCCCATCTTTGCTTAGTTCTATTCATGAGATTAATCCATATTTTTGAATGTAACTGTTCATTGTTTATTCTCTTTGCTGAAGAGTGTTCAGTTTAGCCATTTTGGTAGATGTAGAGCATTATCTCCTGGTGGTTTTAATTTGCATTTCTGTGGTAACTAAGGAGATCAAGCATCTTTTCATATTTTTTTGGTGGGGAGAGGAAGATTAGCCCTGAGCTAACAAGCCTCCTCGTTTTTTTTTTTTTTTTTGCTGAGGAAGACTGGCCCTGGGCTAACATCTGTGTCCATCTTCCTCTACTTTATATGAGATGCCGCCATAGCATGGCTTGACGAGCGGTGCGATGGTGCGCACCCTGGATCTGAATCTGTGAACCCCTGGCCGGCGAAGCAGTGCTCGTGCACTTAACCACTTCGCCACTGGGCAGGCGCAGTCTTTTCATACTTTTAATTGCCATTTGTATCTTGTCTTAGTCTCCTTGGGCTGCTATAACAAAATACCACAGGCTGTGTAGCTTATAAACAACAGAAATTTATTTCTCACAGTTCTGGAGTCTGGAAATCCAAGATCAGAGTGTCAGCATGGCCGGGTATTGGCTCTCTTCCGGGTCGCAGACTTCTAGTTGTATCCTCCCATATTGGGCCTGGGGATCTCCGTGGGATCTCTTTTATAAAAGCACTAACCCCATTCATAAGGGCTCCACTCTTATGACCTAATTGCCTCCCAAATGCCCCACCTCGTAATAGCATCACATAGAGCATTAGGATTTCAACTTGAATTTTGAGGGGACACAAACATTCAGACCATAGCGATCTCCTCTTTTGTAAAATGTTTCAGTCTCTTGCCTCTTTTTCTGTTGGGCTGCCTATGTTTTTCTTGTTTATACTAGGAGTTCCCTATGTATTCTTGATATAAGTAATTGGATATTCTCCTATTCTATAATGTATTTTTGATAAACAGTAGTTCTAAGTTTTAATATAGTCCAATTTATTGTTTTTTTCTTTTGTTATTAACACTTTTTTTTAAAAAAGAAATTCCTGCCTACTCCAAAGTCAATAAGATATTCTCCTATGTTTTCCTTTAAAAGATGTATGGTTTACCTTCACATTTAGATCTTCCATCTACCTGGAAATAATCTTTGCATACGGCATGAGATAGATCCAAGTTAAATAAATTTTGTCCAAATGGCTATCCAACTGATCCAGCATCATTTATTTTTTTTATTTTTTTTGTGAGGAAGATCAGCCCTGAGCTAACATCCATGCTAACCCCCCTCTTTTTGCTGAGGAAGACCGGCTCTGAGCTAACATCTATTGCCAATCCTCCTCCTTTGTTTTTTCCCCAAAGCCCCAGTAGATAGTTGTATGTCATAGTTGCACATCCTTCTAGTCAGCATCATTTATTTTAAAGACCCTCTTTTCCCATTACAATGCAGTGTTACTTTTTTCAAAAATCAGGTGACATTATACTTCTAGACTCTCTCTTCTGTTCCATTTTCAGTTTGTCTTTGCACTGAGATGTGGGAAGGTTATTTAATTATGGGTTGGATTGCTTTAATAAATATAAAACCACGAGATTTTCTCTTTTTTTTTCATTGTATCAGTTTGCTATGCTGTATCTTTTAAAAGAATTTGTTCATTTCATCTAAATTTTGAAATATATTGGCATAAAGTTGTTCAAAAATCTTCCTTTATGTTTTTGGGCCTGCAGAATAGTATTAACATCCACTTTTCATTCGTTTTTTTGCTGAGGAAGATTCACCCTGAGCTAACATCTATTGCCAGTCATCGTCTATTTTTGTATGTCAGCCACCACCACAGCATGGCCACTGACAAGTGGTGGAGGTCCACACCCAGGAACCAAACCTGGGCAGCCGAAGCGAAGTGCACCAAACTTAACCGCTAGGTTACTGGGACTGGCCCCACTTTTCCTTATTAATTTTGATTGTGCTGTTTCTTTTCCTTGATTAGTCTCACTTAAAGTTTATCAGTTTAAATATTCTTCGTAAAGAACTAAGTTTTAGTTTTATTTTCTCTCACATATTTTTCTTCCATGTCATTAATTTCTGCTCTTATCTTTATTATTATCTACTTTCCTTTTTCATTTGTTGTTTTATTTTTTGGATCCTTTTCTAACAATCAGGAGGAAAGATTAGCTCATTGATCTATCAGTCTTTTCTATTTTCTAAAATATGCACTTAAAGCTATAAATTTGTGTAGACACTGCTTTAGCTAGGTGCCATAAGTACAATGTATTGTAGTTTCATTATAATGCAATTCAAAATATTTTTTTTGTTTCTATTTTGATTTATTTTTAGTTCCATGAGTTATTTAGGAGTGTATTGCTTAATTTCTGTATATATGGGGATTTTTTTTTTTTTTTTTTTTGCTATGGATCTGTAGCTTAAATGAATTGTGGCCAGAAAACACATTCTGTATGATTTCAATCCTTTGAATTTGATGATTATGCTTTGTGACCAGTATATGGTTAATTGCTGTTAGGTGCTCCTTGTGGGAATAAAAATAGTGTGTCTTCTGCACAACTACATTCTGTGTTATTTTTTGTTATGTTCTATATAAACCAATTAGGTCAAGCATTTTCATATCTTTCCCCGTCTTTTCCATTCAACATTTATGTATTTCTTTTTTACATATATCTCTTTTAAACAGTGTAAAAATGAGTTTTGGTTTTTGTCCAGGAAGATAACAATTGTCTCTTAATTAGAGTATTTAGTCTATTTACATACTTTTCATATTTGGGTTTAAATCTACAGTATTGCTCTGCATTTTCTATTTGTCCTACCCAGTCATACTTTGTCTCTTTTCTTGCCTTCTTCTGGATTAAGATTATTTTCTATCCCCCCCCACCAAATTAAGTCTATTTATACATCTTCTACTACACTTTAGTAGTTTTCCTGATATTATAACATGTACTTGAGTTAATTGATTATCTCTCCCCAGACAATGTAAGCACCTTAGAACACCTCCCCCTTCAATTTATATGCATTTTTTCATTAACTTTAATTACGTACATATTTTTAAGCCCCATGAGACAATATGTTATTGTTTTATACAGGCAATATTGTTAATACAGGCAAATTAGATTTACCTGCATATTTTACCACTTCTGTTGCTTTAACCCAATTTCAGGAACTGAAATTTTCTTGGCCACCCAAACGAACTAAGCTGTTTTACTTCCGATACATCCTTATACCTAGAGTACATCCCCTCTGGTTCCAACCTGAGTCACAGGGGATTTACCAGGGCCACCGGATGTGGTAACACTGGCTTCCAAATTGTCCATAGACCCAGCAACCTTCCCAAAGCAAAAGGAAAATACAATACATAAATACTGTATTATCTTGAAGGTCCATATGTTTAGAAGTAAGACAGAACACAGTGTTTCTATGGCAGTGCCTTAATAATTCAAGTAATTAGCTGGTATACTAAGGAGTCACTAAAGATATTACTAGCAAGAGCTGAAATTTACATTTCTAATGAAGCTTAGTGCCTGTTAAGAAATTGAAGTTCATTGTAGTGTGTTAAATTTTACACTGAATTTCAAACTAGGAAAAACCAAATAAATGTTTCCTTTTGTGATGGCACCAAAAGTTTGGTCCACCCAAGAACGAGTTTTACGAGCAGCAGCCTACAGATCTGTACTAAGAAAAAAGGGAAGATGAGTGAAAAGTCAAAATGGAGAAGCACATCTACTGCAAAATTAAGAAAGATTGAGTTTAAAAAAATGACAATTTAAACCAAATGGCAACATATATTGATTCTACTTGCTATACACACCACAGAAGGCATTCTTCCTTGCCTGTAGGTGCAGGTGGGTGTAAATGGTAAGTATGATGGCATTTCTTCCTAACACCCAGCCACTTAGAATCTCTTCTCCTGCTCCTTCCAGCAATATGACTGCAGTGGCAGCTGCTCGTTCTTTTCCCCCATTCAAACTTCCTCCCACCTTTCCTTTCTTCTTTTCTTCTTTCCCTTCTCTTCCTCCTCCCCTTCTCTCCTCCTTTTCTCTTTCCTTCTTCATCTATTTTCATAGTCCCTTTAGTACTTTTAAGTATCAGAAAACCACTGGATCCTTATTCCAATCCGGGTTTTCTCACTTGAGCAAATCTCTAAACATTCCTTGCCACAGTTGACTAACCTATACAATAAAGTCATTAGAAAGATAACATTTAATATGTCTTGCAGTTCCAAGAGTCTATGTCTATGAAGTCTCCATGTTCTTACACAACTCTATGTCTCTGGCCACAATTGTTGGTCCAGTTTTGGGTGCATGACCCAAGCTGAACAAACAATTTCCTTTTCTGAAATATTTGGACTTAGAACCAGATATCACAGCAATTAGTGACTCTTTCCAGGAGTCAAATTGTAAGATGTAAAGTTTAGCAACTACTTGTAGTCAACTTTGTTGCCAAGGGCAGAAAGTTTGACCGAAGAGAAAGAGAAATTTAAATAGTTTAAATCTAAATAATATGAAAAAAATTGTATAGTTTTGGCAATCTATTCTTATTTATTTCATTCTCATTGATGCTATGTAAGATGTATTTAGATTTAGAAGATTAAGTCACAGGATATACAAAAACATTTGGTTTTTAAAAGATCTATTATATGAGCCAATTTTCTTAAGCCACTTATGTATCTTGCTGAAAAATAGAATGTTAGAAAGGGCTCAGATAAAGGATTTAGATAAAGGGATCCAAGCAAGTGTTACTATTTGAAGATCATTTATTATGAACCAGGAACTTTATAAATATTACTTGCCATTCATAAAATAACCCAGATAGATAAGAATTACTATCTCAATTTTACAAAGGAGGAAATTGAGATTCAGAAAGATTAAATCAGTTGACAAATTTATACAGCTAGTGAATCACTGAGCTGAGATTCAGCTCCAGCCTGTTATGATAACAGAGCCCCAACTTTTCCATTCTGTAACACAGAAGTGCCTCTCAAGATGTCACTATGTTTGCCTTAACCTCTGCAATTAGCTTATAATCTGTTTGGAAGTACAGGAACAAAATAATTTAGAAACATATTAATAAAATACTTAAAAGCCAATCCAGGAAGATTTACTTTTCTAAGCATTATGTAATACTCTGAGGAGTGTGTATGATTTCGTAATCTGTAAATTGCACATTTCTGTTGGAAATTAAGTTTGAAATTATGTATTAATGCACATCTGTCAATTTTGTGGGAGTTTGCTTGGTGAGATTTGGATGTCTTAATTACACAATCCCATCTGTTTTCTTGGGGCTCTGGGAGATGAGTTTTTGTGGCTCAAAGAGATGAGTTTTGTGACTTTCAGAGTTGGATGGCCCAAGCCTGCTCTTTTTGAAGGATATGCTAGAAATTTTTACATGTGCCTCATATTCCAGGTTATTACTTAAATTATTGCTAATAAATATAGCTACCATTTATTACCATTAGTACTCTTAACAACCCTGAAATATAGGCAAAGCTATTGTCATTTTACATATAGGTAAACTAGCATACAGGAAGGTTATCTTACAAAAGATCATGCAGCTTGTAAATGGTACACTCAGCTGACAAGCCCAGAGCTGTCTGACTCTAAGGTGAAGACCCCGCAGCTTCAAACAACCTCAGTCAATGTTGGAACCATATTCTTATTGAGGTCAACAGAGACAAATTTTTAAAATGATGTAAACACATTAAATCAAATTCAAAAATTATTTCTGGGAATATGATCTCAAAATTGTATATATTACATGTTGATGTAAATATGTATTTCAAAGATTCCTTTAAAAACAACCCAGTGAAAACTTATGTCCACACAAAAATTTGCACACAAATGTTTATAGCAGCTTTATTTACAATCGCCAAAACTTGGAAGCAACCAAGATGTCCTTCAATAGGTGAATAAACAAACTGTCGTATTTACATACAATGGAATATTATTCAGCAATAAAAAGAAACAAGCTGTTAAGCCACCAAAAAAATAGAAGAATCTTAAATGCATATTGCTACGAGAAACAAGCCAATCTGAAAAAGTCTACATACTCTGGATATTCTGGAAAAGACAAAACTATATAGAGAGGAAAATAATTCAGTGGTTGCCAGGAGTTCAGGGGGTGGGAGGTGAAGAGGCGAGGGATGAATAGATGGAGCATGATGAACTTTTAGGACTGTGAAATTACTCTGAATGATACTGTAATTATAGATACAAGTCATTATACATTTGTCAAAGATTTATAGAATGTACAAGAGAAAATCCAAATGGAAACTACAGACTTCAGTTAATAATAACCAACCAATATTGGCCCATCAACTGCAACAAATGTACCACCCTACTTTCTGCTCAATTTTTGTATAAACATAAAACTATTCAAAAAATAGTCTATTAATTTAAAAAATATAGTAAATGCTTATGTTGTGGAGATTATGAGTATACACCCACAGATCAAATGAAAATAAAAAAGACTGGAATATATACAAATGGATTCTGCTGCTTGAAATAAAATTCCTAGAGACTGTAAGAATCACATATGCAAAAAATTCTTAGACTGCAGTGAAGTTGATATATCCTGGAAAATGATGATGGTGATTGTAAATGTAAAAAAGGAAGATCTCCATGATGGGGTTTCATGTAACAGTTTGAGTAAATTTTTTCATGTAATATGAGAGGGAAAATGTGCTATTTCTTAATTATTATATTGTTTCAAAAATATGTGATTTAAACATGTAGGTGTAACTAATTTCATATATTAAGCAAAACAACTAGCTATTAGACTACCTCATATGCATTTCACTGATAAATACATTTATATTCTTCTTGAGCAAATCCTTTCATTGGGAATATGGAGAGTTACTCTATTTGGGGGATTACATTATATTCAGGAATCTATGGAATTTTTGAGTACACAATTTACATTAGGCTGTGGGTTAGGCACTGTGAGGTAGATACAAAATAATCAAGACACCAACATATGGTTTCTGCTCTGAATCCCTAAATATGGTCCAAAGAAAGGGCTGAATGGAGATAATTCAAGTATAACTCTAGTCAGTGCTCATTGTTTATAAGCAGTAAGTGTGAAACATGGAATTTATTACGCTAGTCTAAATAGAGAGCTTGCCTTTGTCTGGAGAATTCAGAGAAGTCTCCACAGAGAAGGCAATACTTTTGATGGGCTTAAATGAGTTCCAAAGACGGAGAAGGAAAAAGTAGAAATTCCGGGTGGAAAGAATTTCCAAGCAGGTGGAGGTACAAAAAATAGTGAATCATGTCCAAGGGTTGACAGTTAATTCAGTTTTGTTAGATCACAGGAATCTGAATACAAAGTGGAGCGGAGAATTTTTTTGGAAATTGTGGATAAAGGTTAGTCATGTGGTGCACGGATCTAGCAAGGAGAATGTTACTCTTTCATTCAGTTAGAAATTGATGGGGAATATGTTGAAGATATTGAGTTTCTGAGAAAGAAAGTATACTTTAGAAAATTCGTCTGTTTTGTGACAATAAAATTTATCTTACTGCGTTATGCTTTTTCATGTCTATTTGCCCTCTAGACCAAGAGATCCTCAAAAGCAGACGTCATATTTATTTTTCTTATTTTCAGTACTTAGTACATAACTGATACACAGTGTAAGCTTTATAAATGCTTACTAATGAATAACTGAATTGTACTTTTCTTAATTTTAGGATAATTTTAAGAATCCTAGAATTATTGGCTTTAAAGTACTCAAATCTGAGTTGATGCTAGTAACCACTGATTTGCCTCTGATTGGGCTCTTCCTCTAACCCCCTCTGTGGGACAGCAGGAATTGATAGGGAAGGGGCAACAGAAGGGATGAAGGGTCATGGTCCAAAGAGAGACTAACCCCCTAATAAATTAACTGCTGCTTTTCTTTAAACTCAGTGTCTTCCCAATGTGCTGGACCTGGTAACCATACCCTTGGATTGTTCCTTGCGCCGGAAGTCTTTGTCATGTGTCTCAGACCCCAGATCCTCTGAGACTGCGGGCTGTCTCTCTCTTCCAGGGTCCTTCCTGGATATTAGAGTTCAACCTTGAAACTCAGGTCAGTGCCTGGAATCTAGCAGGCTTCCTGCTGACAGCGGTTCCTCAGATGGTTCTCCTGGACATCTAAAGGTTGCTATGTAAAGATTTTGCATCTATGCTCTCCCCACCCCATTGTCAGGGCACTTCCCTGAATACTACATTCTGTCCTTTAGGCTGCCCTTCCTCTCAGCACCTGTCACTCAGTTTCTATACTCAGTGCCTGTGCCTCCTATACAGGAAGATTTTGTTCTAGGTCTGGTCCCAGACTGCTATGAATAGCTGAGACATACACAAGCAGCTCCCAAGATATTACTGAATACAACATTAAAATAATCTATGTTTTTAAATGCAAAAATACACAAGCAAAACAATGCTTCTTTTTTTCCTGGCTTATCAAGCTAGCATAGAAATATGATTTGTTTCTTTAAATTAGAAGTCAATTGGCTTAAAAATTATCAGAAAATGTATACTTGAAGCTAATTACTTTTTAAAATATGATAAAAGATCTTAGAGAAATCAGAGGTATTTCTGATATTACACATTCTGATGTCTGAGAAAAGTTATCCTCAGCACTGCATAAACTCAGATGAAACTTAATATTGTTTATTTTTAACATTTCCAATGGTTATTAACTAACAGACTGTCAGTGTTGGAAGAGATTTAGAGGTCAGCAGGAATTTCCTTTCTGAATGGGATAAGTGCAGTCACCTTATAATCTTTTAAAAAGAAAACTGATTAGCTAAACTAATTCCTTTCCCACATTGAGGTACCGTGCGATGTATTTGAAAACTTTTACTGCTATTCCTGTTGCAGCAAACAAAGTTTTCCTTGCTGACATTTTCTGGTAGCCTTTTTTACTATCAAGCTTTATCCTAAAAGGAACATACAATATTTTCCAATAAAAAATAATATTGTAATGAACTTGCTATAGTAAGTTGTCTCCTCCGTGGTGAAGACTTTCCCGTGAGCAATGCTGATGATTTCTATGCTACCGCTATCCCTGTTCCCATCTCGGCTGTGGCATTACCCCCAGGAATTGCTTTGGTCCCTCTGTCATCTGTCTCTCCACCTGAGTGAGCATTCTGAGGGTTGTATCTTTGTTTACCCAGAATCTGGTACTGTGTTTTGCACACAGCAGTGTTTGAATAAATACTTTTTTTAAAAAATAAGATAAAGGAATGACTGAAGAAAAGATAAATAAACCACTATTTGTATCAACACACAACTGAATGACGTCTGAAATTGAGTAACAGTTCAAAATCAGCAATGACGTTGAAAAGTCAAAGTCAGCAAGGCCTGACTTTCCTATTCTTCCTTTCTTTCTGGTATTTTTAGTGGAAGTAACATAAGCCAAACACTGCCTCTTCTCTTGGGCAGTGAATTCCCACTCATTCTTCTTCTGATAAAGATGTGACATTTTCGTGAAGGCTT